TGCCCTCTGCCTCCGCCCCCCCCCGATTCGCTGTGCTCTCTCCCGGTCCCGCTGGGGCTCCCACTCGCTCGGTGTGTTTATGGAAGGCCTAAACCGCCCCCTTTGGCTGCAGGAGCAGCGCCGCCCTCGCCCACCCGCTTGCCGAGCGGCGGCCAGGGACTGTTTTCTGAGCGGCCTCTCTTGCGGAATCTGCCCCCTGCCCGACTTGGAGGCCCACCTTGGTCCCCGGAGGGCTTGTTGCCGCAGAAGCCCCGGCGCAACAGGTCTGCTCTTCCTTTCCTCCTGATTCAGCAGAAGAACCGCGTCCCTTCATATTTGGGGAGCCCCAATACTGAACTTGTTGAGAAAAGCTTGTTTTCTCCCAAGGTGCGATGGGAAGGGGGAAGCCAGGGCAGTTGCCCGTTAGTCTTGCAGAGTTGAATTGCTCGTCTAAATGGCCCTATTCAACCCTGAGTGAAATCGAGTTGTCGACTCACAGCTGGGACAATGCTCTTCAAATAGTCTGTTTTATTGCTGCTCCGGACTGGAGAGCAGCTTGTCTTGAACAGCTCTCCGAGGGCAGGAAATCCCTCCACTTTTGTCTGTGTAATCTCCATGGATTAAAAATTCAACAAAAGGGGAAGGAAGAAATTCTTCTGAACTCCCTTCTCACCTGCATATAACTAGCCAAAGCTTCCTGGATCTTTGGTTTTGATTTATCTGAAGCAAACAATCTGGTATGTCACACTGAAGTCCTTCCTCAAAAGATTGGATTTGACTTGAGGGAGTTCTCCCGAAGGCTACCAATTTCAGCTTTTCATTAATCATGCTGCATTCTCCTCCTATGGGAATGTAGGTTCTCCTCTTCATTCTTTTACCAGTTTGATTCAGGAAGTTGCTGCTCCCTCTGTCCGACACCCTTGTGCAGAAAGAGGGAGGAGGACAAAGCCTTATTACTGCTTTCCCTTCATCCAGGGAATACCAGAGGGAAAGATCAGAGGGACACAACTTCCATGCTACACATGGGGTGGGTAGGTTGCAGGCCTTGTAAGCTGGCTGAGAGATCAGCTCCCTTACTGCCCTGGAGAGATCTTCCTACAGAGATAGAATAAGGGGTGGATCTGAGCTTGCAGGTCCCCATGTCATAATACCAGGGCGTCAAGAAATAAGCTTTATTGGTGGCATGAGGCAGTGATGCCCCAAGGACCGTGTTTGAGGGTGGGTAGCTAATGACCCTGAGTGTCTCATTTGGAGAGGTTGGCCCCAGGGGAGTCCCAAAAGGGAGAGGGCACACTTACGTCTGCCCCAGCCACGGGGCAAGCTTCTGCTTCAGGGCAGAGGCAGCAAGCTGACCACAGTGCACCCCGTGGCTTCTGTGTGCTTGCCAGTAGCAGAGCCTCTAAGCGAATGCCCCTTTCTCCTTGCCAGATGACTCTGTTCGGATCCAGAAGCCTTGAGGATAAAGGCTCCAGCGGGCCCACCCTGAGTAAGGCTGAGTTTGTGGAGAAGGTGCGACAGAGCAACCAGGCTTGCCATGCAGGCGACTACCCCAGAGCCATCCTGCTCTATGGCGAAGCCTTGGGGGTCGATCCCCAGAACTGCATCCTCTACAGCAATCGCTCCGTGGCATATATGAAGATCCAGCAGTACGACAGGGCTCTGGACGATGCCATCAAGGCCCAGCTTCTGAACCCCAAATGGCCGAAGGTAGGGATGTCCACACTTAGGTGTGTCTATGGAGGCATGTGGGAGGGTGGGAGTCCCACAACTGTGCTTCGAGGGACAGGAGCATCCTATCAAGTTCAGGGACCGGAGGGTGGGGCATACTGTAGCAGCCCCAGCTGGTACCACATGGAGAGCCATCTGCGCCCCCAGCCTTCCTGCCTGACTTGCCTTCTTTACCTTGAGGTGGACACCCTCGGGTTCCCAAAGCAACAGCAATCCAGCTTCTGTCTCACCATCTGGGTACCCAAATGGCCTTTGGGTTTATCTCAGTGAAGTTCCTGGGACCAGACATTGCCCCTCCATTCAAACTCTCCTGTCAGAACTGCCCTGAAGATCTCCCAGAGAGTGGCTGTAACTCATTCCAGAGCATATGTGTTTCTGTGTATATGTCTGTGTGTTTCTGGGCAGGGGCCTTTGAGAAAATGTGCTATCCTGCTTTCTCCAGAAAGAGGCTGTAGCAAGGCGAGGCTTCCCAGCTGGAGGCGTGTTGTCCTAGCAAGCACTGCGCATGGAGCTGGAAGCAAAGCTAGACTCCTGCTTCCCCATTGTGCCTGCTTTCCCTTAATTGCAGCCTTGCTACACTCCGCCCATCAGGAGCAGAGCAGAGAATGGTAGACTCTTTAATCCATTGTGGCTTGAAACAGAGTTCCTCTGCCTGGGCAACTTTTTGTGGCTTGCGTGGCTCGGTTATTTTGTTGATTTGCCCATGCAGGGTTTCCAATTCAGTGCACCGCCCTCCTGCAAAGTGGAAGAGCAGCCAGCTGAGGAAGGGGGAGGAATGCTTGTAAATTGCTCTGAGAGAGAGAGAGAGAGAGAGAGAGAGAGAGAGAGAGAGAGAGATGGCTGTGGTGGTGGGTGGGAGGGAGGGGTGCAAAGATTCAGCTCATGCGTACTTTGTTGGGCAGCCCCAGGAGGTCTCTGGGACGTGAATCCCGTTCTGTGTAGACAGCCATTTTCTGTAAGTCTCTGGCTCTTGAGATAGCCAAAAACAAAATGGGAAAGGGGTCTTCAACTAGGAACGAAGGGGGTGTTTTCTGGAGGAATGTCCAGCTTTGGGGGCTTTGCTGTTACCATTATAATGTCCCATATTTTGCTACTACTTAGTCCCTTGGGGAGGCAATAAACCAGCTGCACAGGAACTCTCTAGTTCAGTAGCATTGGAGTCCAGAGATTTGGAGTGAATGTGTGCCAGCCGTGATGCATGGGAAGAGCAGAGGAAGCACAGGGCTTTGTTCACTGCTGGACTCTGTTGTCGCTTTCTCTCCTTCCACTTGAGTGTGTAGGGAGGAGACCTTTTTGGCTGCTTCAGATCTTTGCCTGTTGCCTAACCTTTGGAGCCCTCTTCTGTCGCTGATGGCTCTAGGGCAGGAAGTACCTTGCTCGGAGGCTCATCAGATTCCCCTCCCCTCCCCCCCCATCACCACATCCACCAAGACCATCCGGTCCTTGGAAGCCTCCAAATGCCTTCCCAATGGCAAACAGCTTGGGGGGGGGCAGTTTTCCCTCCAAGGCTGGCTTGTGGCCAAGCTTCTTTTCCTTTTCCATGGAAGGCAGTTTTCTTCTCCTGCCTCAGCCAGAGGAAGTGGCCAAGGTTCCTAGGACAAATGCCTCACAGGGTGACCCAAGTCTCGGCCTCAATCTCGTCCTACAGATGAAAAGGCTAAGCATTGGGGGGGGGCAATGCTTAGAGGAGCATCCCTTCTAGTGAGGGGCCTCCAATTTTCTCCAGAATGCTGAATGCTTCCATGTTTGAAATCTCAAAAAAGTTTCTGAAGGATGGTAACCACAGAAAATGAATGGTTTTGGAGGCCTCCTATTTAGACTCTGCTGTTTCTGGATGCCTGTTGTGGTCTACAGATATTTCTGTGGAAGCTGTTGGCCAGGATCCAGGTTGTATAAATAGCGGGTTGCATTAATATTTTATGTTTTCAGAAAAGCATTAAAGGTGGTAGTTGAAGAATCCTCAGCGATAGTTGTCCAGTGGCTGAGATGATGGATTCTTTGGCTCTTGTTGCCTGCAGTTGCTTCTGAGGGTGGGAACCCCAGTGCCGCTCTGCCCAGCCTTTTGTAGGGCCATGGGTAATCCTGATGTCATTGCTATAAGCTCCTTGGGGGAAAGGAGGGCTGTACACTTTTGTAAAAAGTCTTGCTATCAGTGGTCTCTGCAAAAACAAAAAGTATCCGCTCTAAATACTCAGCCCACTTGAAAGTCTCTGCTGGATCTCAGGATGCCAAACGCAGTGCCAGGAGAGCTTCCCTCCCCAGGGAGACTGCTCCGCACTTGGGGATGCCACCGTATGGAAGCCACCCACCATCCAACTAGAAGGGGACAAAGCTCTGTTTCATTTTGTGGCTTTCTGCCCTCTCCATTTGGAGTCCAAAACGATCAGGATTTGCATCCAGAAACATGCCCTTTGGCTGGAAATGTTTCTGGCCTTGGAAAAGGGGAGGAATTGTGGTTAAGATCTACACGTGAGCCAAAGGCATTTTGGCCTTTCCTCAGTGAAAGGCCCTCAGAACCCCTGCAGAAAATTTTAGCTCTAGCTGAGCTGAAGATGTCTTTTGTGGCACGCAAGGTAATTCAGACAGAACATGGGTGCCACTCTGTTTTCTCGGCTCTTTCTCTGTGTCCTGACTGTAGCAGAAGCCTCTTCCGGTATGCCTTTGCTGGCCCCTACAGGTTCCTCCGCTACCCTGACAGCCCCAAATGACTTGCTTCATTCTCTGCTTTTTTCTGTATGACCCAGAACAGCACCTGCACCTTTATCTGCCCCCAGGAGGCACCCATTCAGCACGCACGTTGAGGAGGAAGGAGGTGATTTGCCCCCAGGAGGGCCTGGTCACCCAGCTCAGCCCTGTTCTCCAGAAAAATATCCTGCTTCCTCCAGGAAGGAGGGGAGGGGAGGTGGCTTGCTTTGTCAGCTCTGCACCTTTGGTTTGAGAGGGCTCAGTGCCGCCTCTGGCACGTGTGCCATAGGTTTGCCACCACTGGTGTAAAGTCTCCTTCTTGAGCGGGGGACTGGACTAGAACAGGGCTTTTCTACCTTTTCACCCATTGTACCACTTTTAGGATTGGCATTTCTTTGGGGCTCAGCAGAAGCACCAGGATCAGCACTGAGCTCCAGCTGGAGCCTGGCGCTGATCCTGGCGCTTCCGCTGAGCCCTGACAGCCCTGCAGCTCCAGCCATCTCTCGCTCAGGCTTGTGCGGTGCTGCCACCGGTTCAGCTCATTCCCCTCCCCCGCTACCCCTTTCAAGGATGGTCACGTACCACCTGCCAGGTGCCCATGTACCACAGGTGCTACCCGTACCACTGGTTGAAAAGCCTTGCTCTATTCCACCAGGTTACTTACTGCCTCCTATCTCCCATTGCATAAAACCATGGCTTTCTGTGTTGGAAAGGGAGCCCTCCCTGCACAATCTCCATGATCGGAGATGGGTGGAGATGCCTCTTCCTAAGATTGGGAGTCTATCCTGCAGTCTTCTGGGAGCCTTGCATGTCAAAACGCCAGAGAAATAATGGAGTGTGGGCCAAGGGAAGATGGGGTAGATCTCACCCTGCCTGTTCCAGCCCCAGCAGTTTGGGATGTTCTTTGGAAAGGACATTTGAGCTTTTGCATGAGTTCCCGGATTCCTTGTTGCCTCTGGATCTGCACTGAAAAGAAAGAGGCACCCTTGGTACTTCGGGATTGAAATCCCACCAGGGCTTCTTCACTGAAATTTCTGAATAGGAGGTAGTTTGTGGAAAACCCCCAACAGCTAAATGCACAAGATTTTTCTGTAGCTTTCCAAAGACTTGACCTGCTTTCCCTTAGAACTGTTGACCTGCTTCCCCCTAGAACTGTTGGTTCTAGGGCAGGTTCCTTCACCACTCTGGGAACATCTGAGCCTTGGCAAAAACACCTTGGTTTGCCTCCCAAGAGAGAATCTCTGAAACTTGACTGAGGGACGGAGCTGGGACCAGGGGAGGCTCCTGGCATTCTGCAACGCTATTGCTCAAATGGCCATGCCAACCGCCCTCCGCCTCCCAGAAGGATGCCCCTGCAGAGTGGTCCCAACCCAGGAAATTGCTTCCCCAACACACACTGTGCGAGAGCCAGCAGGAGAATACGTCCAGCAGACCTTGGTTTGCTCTTCGGTGAAGAACATTTGTCATGCGAGTACAAATACGTGTTTCACTGAAGTTTTAACAAAACTGTGTTTTGCTTTTCTATGAAATCAAAAACAAGATGGCTGAAAGGAATTAAAACAATCAGTATAGACCAAATATTGTGGAAACGCTTTGAAAACTTGCCAACTGTTGCTCGCCAACAAGATGGAAAGGTGGAGAATGTAAATCTCTCTATTTGGCTTTCTGCTCCACTCATGTCCAGCACTGCTGGCTTTGTCGTTCTTTCAGGTTGGTGGGTAAAAGTGGTAGAGAGCAGCAGGATTCACAGGGCTTCCTTTCAGGCCCTGGGAATGCTGAGCCGGCTGTCAGCAGGTCTGGGGCCCAGGAAGAAGCCTGTGCAAACCCCTTCATTTTGTTGCACTTTAGGCTGGGTGATTTACAGTGACTCAGAAACAAAACGATGCGCTTCCAGTGCTCAAAATTTGTTTGTTCCTTGGGCCTTTTGTTTGGCAGGAATTTAAACACCCTGCACAGCCTCTTGTGCCAGCTGGGCTGTGCCAGGCTCAGGCCTGGCAGTGAATCTGCCAGGTCGTTGCTTGTATTTCCTAGCATTGCATCTTGAACAAAGACAGTTCTTTGTGTTCCAGAAAGGAGGTGGGGCACTTCCAGATGAGGCTTTCATTGTGTCATTACCCTGCCTGAAATACAGTGTTTAAATTGGGGTGGGGAAGGCCAGATATGGCTCCTTTCCACTTGCTTGATTTTATTTCTGGGAAAACCTGGTTAAGGTGGAAATGGCTGGGAGCAGCAGCTTTTTCAGCAGACAGAGAGAAGGTGAAGACCCCCTCTCTTCAACTGCCTGTGGGGTTTCTCTTGTGGGGCCAGCAAAAGTGCCACTCCTTGCTGTGCTTCTCTCTTGGGCAAAGAAATTCGAAGCTGTGACCGAGTCTCCGCTTTGGCCTGTGCCAGTGGAGAGGTGGATTGTTCGGGTGTTAGGTGAGTTGTGTTCAGTTCAGTCCAGTAGATGGAGAAGGGGGGGAGAGCTGTTTTGCCCCCCTTTTTAGCATACAGTTGATCAAGAATGTTAGACTTCTGTTTTGCGGGGGGGGGGGATTGAGGCATTTATGGTGGAGGCAGGGGGGTGTATATCATTTTTTAAAGTAGTCATCCAGATGTGACTACTGGCCAGAAGAGTATGCTTAGTGCCATTAGCATTGAGTTGGTCTTAAAATCCAGTGTTTGATTTTCCCACACCTTGAAAGTCAGACCTTCTTCGTCCATCCTGGGGGGAAGCCCTGCCTCACCACTCTTTTGCGTTGGATTAGCCTTATGGCCCCATGTCGTTCCTGTGAATGCAGCCAGCAATTGCTTAGCAACCTTGGCTTCTTGGAAACTCAGTCCTATCTGTGTGTGTGTGACATCTGTCATTTAGATGGCTGGGTAAGTTAGACTTTTGGTGAGCTCCAGAGGGAAATGATGATGGACCTCAGACTCCCCTAGCTGGTTTTTGTCTGTTAGACTGCAGGCCATTTTCTGGCTGGAGCACTAAAGCTCATTTGCTCCTAGTTTAAGTTTGGGGGGGGGGGAGAGTGCTGTCTCAAGAACGTGGTTGGGGGGGGGTGCCTGCCTTTGACTCCAGCTTACTTCCAAATTATACGGATTGCCATTGTGACCTTCTCCTGAGGCTGAGAGAAAGGGACTGACCCCAAGTCACTCACGGTTGGTTTTGTGCCTAAGGCAGGATTACAGGCCACATTTTCTTGCTGCCACCAAGCACTTTGATCATGAGACCATTTGCTGCCCTGAAAAAGTCATACCAATCAAAGAGTTGCGGCAGGAGGAAGGAGATCCTCCGGCAGCCAGCCGTTCTGGGCACAGCCGTGGGAGACCTCAGCTGGGTTTGGAAGCTGAAGAGTTCTTGGGTAGGAGGTCACCTGGGAAGGCCAGGGAGCTGGGCTGCACCAATCAGAGATGGGAAAAGCGTTCTGGAAGAAGGTAGGGCAACAACTGCAGGAGCTGAGCTGGAGTCTAGGAGGCCTCGGTCTCTGCGGAGTGGGAACCAGGCAAGCGAAGGGGCCCCACTGCTTGCTGACCGGAAGCCGGCTCGGAGAGGATGGAGGGGCAGCGGCTGCTGCCCTGCTTCCATTTATCGGCCCAGGAGGGACTCGGCAAGGGACCCTTTCTGCCCCGTAGTGGCTTTGGGTAGGTCTGCGCACGGCGGCCCAGAGAGGGCGGCCTCTGCGCGGTTGGGCTAGTGGCCTGAGGCGGGGCGGCTGTGCCGATGCTTCAGCCGGCCGTCGGCGGAGCCGGCTCGGAGGACCTAGAGCAGGAGCGCCCCTGCTCTCGCCACGCTGCGGGCCGGGGAGCGGCGGGCGCTAGGGCCGGGCGGCTCCGGAGCGGGGCCGAAACAGGCTGTTTGCCTGGACGGCGGGGGGCGGGGGGAGGAAGTCATTAGTGCGGCGGAGGGAGGAGGCGCGGCCGAGCCAAGAGGCGGCGGCGGCGGCTGGGAGCCGCGGAGCTCCCCCTGGTCGCGCTCCGGCAGCCGACCCTGTTAGGCGCCCGGCCGCGGCTCCCTCGCGCCGCTTCCTCCGCGGCCGCCGCCCCTCCGCCTCTAGTGCCGACGGAGCAGCGGCAGCCTGCGCCCGGGAAGGGGGCGCGGCGGCGGGCTTGGATGTGCGCGGGCGGGCGTGCTGCTCCCGGGGGCGCTCCCCTCTCGGGCTGCCCTGAGCGGCGGGCGGCGGCATGAGCGGCGGCCCTGGCGAGCGCGCGCCTACCCCCGCCGCGCCTTGATGCCCGAGCCCCGCGCTCCACAAATATGATGAAATGGCAGCCCCGGAAGAAGGTGAGCGCGCCCGCCGGCCTCGGCGCCCGCCGGCTCCGGGCCTTTGCCTTATAAGGCCGCTTTGTTGCCAGCGCCGCGGCCGGGCCGGCGGGCCGGGCCGGGCGTGGCGTCCCCCGTCGGCGGCGGCTGGCGCGCCTGCTTCCCGGGCGGCTTCGGCGGCGGCTGGGCTGCGCCGCCTTTGTTACTCGCCTTCGCCGATCGCACCGTCCGGGGCCGGAGCTCGGAAGCCGCTCGACGGCGGAGAGCAGCGCTCGGGGCCAGTAGTGGTGTTCCTGTCAGCCTTCGTATCCTCCTCCCGCTCGGGGGAGGCGCCTCGCTTTCCGCCGCGGCTGCCCGGGTCTCGTGCGGTCGGAGAGGCTTCCCTTCTGCTCAGCTGGCGGGGCCGGGGAAGGAACTGGACAGCGCCGCAGGTCCTGTGCGCCCGGAGCCGGAGGAGGACGAGCCGGTCCTCTGCTTTCGTGGCACTTTTCCCTGCGCTGCTCCGCACTCAGCTTAGCCGTTGTCGGCCGCGCGGCCCTTGCAAGGCGGTGGAAGGGCCGGGGTGCCGGTTGGGCGAGCTACGCTCTACCTCTTTCCTGGTTTACGTTCCAGGAGATTCTCAATTATCCAGGTCATAGTTGTCAGAAAGGGATTCCCCCCCCCCCCCAAGGCAGAGTCTGTGCTGGGAGAGGGCATTGGGCAGGAGGGTGGCTGTTGCTGGGCCCCTGTTGGTGAAAGAGAGAACTTTGTGCTGCGTGGAACTCTGGATAGCTTCTTTGCTCCCCGCTTGTGGGGCAGGGGTCCTGGTGACCCCTCTTATTAAGACTGCTGGGGATTCCTCTCCTTCCTGGTGCTAGTTTTGCCTGATGCAAGGGGTAGTCCAGAGTGCCACCAAGAAACCACAGTGGAGGAAACAGCTGTGCAGTTTGTTTCCTACAGCTGAACGTTGCCTATCTGCTGGTGGGCTGAGAAGGAGGCACTGCCACCATTCCCGTTTAATTAACTTCTATTCTTCTTCCAAGGCTCCAGAATCCACAGCTGCTGTGAGCAACTCTGCTCCTGCTGCAAATGATTCCTCTCCCCCCCAGCATTTCCCAAGGACCCTGCCCCAATATGCATCCTGATGGCGTAAATGTTTGTAAGTAGCACATTGCCAGTAATCAGCCATCAGAGAACCAGAGCCAAAATCTGTGAGAGGTTGTGTGGATCCCTTGTTGCCCCTTTGCTTGCTGCTGCTGGCTTGGCTTCTGCTTTTTGACTGGGAAGACTAGATCTCTCTCCTGGCCTTCTTGTTGGTGGTTGGGAGGCAGGAAGTAAAGCATCTTGACACTGCCTTGCTAAGCAGCCTGGAGAATTCTGAGCAGCTGGCAGAACCAACCTACCTTCCTTCCTTCCTTCCTTCCTTCCTTCCTTCCTTCCTTCCTTCCTTCCTTCCTTCCTTCCTTCCACTGCTGCTAGCAGTGAACGGGGATGCCAGAGGCTGAACAGAGGCATGTTCACGTGCATAGATGGAGCATGAGCAGCACAGAGGAAGCTCCAACTTCTGGGGATGTTTCCAGTTTTGGAAAGAAAGAGGTGCCCTCAGAGTGTGGGCCAAATGTGCCCCCATAGCTTCTGCTTTATGCTCCTTTGTCCTCCATGGTGCTGTCTCCTAGCAAGCCCCCCCCCCCGGACCTCCATTGGTTACCAAGAAGCGCAGACAGAAAAAGTAGTGCAGAAACCTACCTTCATTGTGTGGGTCAAGCAATAAGGGGAGGCAGAGGAAGCTCAGCATTTATGTTTTAAAAAGCCAGGTTCAAGGGGCTCGGGCAATTTGTAGCCCATAGTCTCTGCACTGCAAGTGCAGGGATTTAGAGCAATGGGGCAGTCTCTGCAAAGGTAGAGGCATTCTGAGTCAGTGAATAAGAAGGCCTAAAATATCTGATATTTCCAAGCTCTTATCTTCTCCCATTCCCAATTTTGTACAATCAATACCACCAGCTTGCAATGCTGCTGACATGAGCGCCTGTGCCCTCTCTCCCCCCCAGGCTTAGAAGAGAGGGGGATCTTTTCTCATTGCAGCATAACAAAATGGGCCTTTAACACTATACTGAGAAGCAGCTGTTGACCTTCCAAGACAGAGGTGGCAAAATCGGGCTTCCCTGCTTCCATCTTCTGAGCCAATCTGAATGTTTCACTCAGGAAGCTACAATCATTTCATATCCCAGTGACGTTCACGAAAACTCTGCTCAGATGCAGGAGCGAACTTGATGTGGCCCCAGAGTGGAAACGGAGAAGTGGGCTATGGTAGAAGGCTGGCAGCATTTCCCGTCCTTCCTATGGGGTGGTGTTGACTTTTTCCTGTTGACAGTTGGAAACAATTGTTCAATTTGGAAACAATTGTTCTCATGTTTACAGGCAGCAAGACCAGGGCTGAGAGCCATCCTGTGTCTTGAGAGCAGCAGTCTTGACATGCAGCAGAAAACCTGGCAGCTGTGTGCGGGCCACTCAGCGTTTCCTTTTCCATCAACTGCAGGGTTACTTCAGGAGCTTTGCTCCAAGCCTGACGCACTTTCCTCCACAGCATCCCATTTAACGATCCGCCTGCACTAATTAGGGGGAATCGTCTCCAGGGACCAGCTTCAGAATTTTGTGGTGGTTTCTCTCCCTGAGGTCTAAAGCGCCTGGGAGGTTTGGTTTCCTTGGAATGCACGTGCATTCAGAGAGGAACAGAAAGGCTGACCTGGTGTTGGAGAGAACTGCCAGAGGAGAGGCCGTGGGTTTGGGTAGGAGCCCTTCATAGCCACTTGGTCCAAGGAAAGTGTCCTGCCACCCACCCTGGCCTGGTGGCCCTGTCTCTCGGGACCTGACATGGGAACAGCCCTGGGCAGTGTGGCTTGGAGAATCCAAGCGGGTGGCCCCAGAGAGGTGCCAAAGATCAGCTGCATGGCTGGAAGGCAGACTGCTGTCCTGATTGGAGATCTGGCCTCAGCCCTGGGGACGTGAGAAGGAGGTTGGCAGGTCTACATCAGGAGAGGGAAGAAAGGTCTGCCTTTTGTCCTTTAAGTCATGGTGCCGGCAGAGCCTGATGTCTGAGCTGTTCAAGAGGAGAGCGGTGCTGAGGTACAGTGGGCCTTCCTATGAAAAACTCCACTCACCTGTGTTACTGGTACCATCTCCCAGCTCGGCATCTTTTGCTGGATGTTCCCTGGAAACACCCATTGTCAGCTAGCCGTGCATGCCTGTTCCCTCTTGCAAGTCCCCAGTACCGCATCAGTCACAGCTTCTGCCTGAATACGGGCAGAGCAGTTCCTCCCAGGAAAGCCTCCCTTCCTTCTTGGAGCTGACCCGGTTTTCTAAGATGTTTGGCCAGAGAACAGAACTGGGCAGCTCCTTGGCATTTTGCTCAGTTTGGCACACTTACTGGGAAGGTGGGCAAAACTGGCCCTGGTACCTGCAGCGCTGGGTGACCTGACCTGACTTGCAAAGCTTGGACTGTCCTGCCTGGCGGAGATATTGCTCTTTGGGGAAAAAAAGGAGTGGCGGCATTTCCCCCCCCCCCCCCGCAGGTCTTCTCCTTTACCTTTTGGACATGAGAATCGAGGTGATGATTCTTGGGTGGGTGGGGGAACGGGTGTCATAATTCCATGTTTTACTAAGGGTTTTGTGGCCTGGCTTTGAATCAAACTAATGGAGCTTAAAATATTTTTGGAATTTGAAAAATAAACAATGCCTTACGTAGTATATATGTATCCAAGGGAAGTCCTTCACAGAATATTTTTGTAACCTGATCAGTTTTTTTTTAACATAGCTCATTTTGCCTTCAGCAATGTTTGCCAAGCAGGTTTATTGTGTGGTTTTTCTGTTTGGATTGTTTGTGGTAATACTTAAGCTCCTCCAGAAGCGAATGAGGAAAAGAAGTTGCTTGGACGTAATTCTTCTCTCGTTCCTGACATGGAATTTGTTCTCATCTAGTGGACAAATAGTAGGCAGGCCTGTTTTCCCCTATTTTGCATGTGTGAATCTGTTAATGGCAATAACCTTGGATCCTCCAGAAGAGCAAGGCAAGAGGAAGGATCTCAAAGGAGCTTGGTCTCCGGCAATGTCCGTTCCCGGGGAGGGGGTCTGCACTCTTCTCCACCACCTCCAGTCTGGCAGGTGAGACAGGCTTGCCCTTTGGAGCAAATAAGCGCCCTCGCATTCTGGTGACCGAAGCCCATGTTTGTCCACTGGAAGGAACGAGGGCTTCCTCCTATTCCGCGGGCTACTCCGAACCTTATGGGGGAAGGTTTGTTTCCAGGCTCACCCTCCAAGGCCAAGCCAGGTGGGGTCTGCTCCCTTCAGTGAAATGGAGCTTGAATCTCTTTGGCCCAGCTTGTCAGAGGGTGCAGCTGCAGAGTATCCAACCCTGAAATTACACTAGGGTTTCTAGGTGGGTGCTGTTAAAATTACAATTGTATTCCTGTTTTTCCTATTCTGTGTGTGTGTGTGTGTGTGTGTGTGTGTGTGTGCACGCACACACACATGTGCAGGTAGCTCATATGGCCAGGTGCAGCCTTGGTTTTTGGTGCTGGGAAAGGGAAAGGGGTAAACTGCTAGGTTTCAAGAGTGAATGCCTAAGATGAGGCGATTGGTCTGGTGGGGGTTCCGGCTAAAGTTGCATCCTTGCAGTGGGGAGACCAGCTTTCAGAGGCAGCTTTTGGTAAAGGAAGGCTGAGTTATTGTAATTTCCCTAGGAGAATAAGCACTGTTCCTTTATATTGACATCGGATGCAGCTGCCAGACTTGCCAGCGTAATGGAAGCCCTGGTAATTGCTATAGTAGTTCCTTTTATAGCTCAGACCTCTTGGAATAAATTTAATTACTTGTAGCTGAATCCAGTAAAAGCTCTATTTTCCCAGAGCCTTTGTGGAGTCCAGCAGAGGCTGCCTGTTCATAGAGCAATGATGCTTCATTTGATTATTTTTTTATTTTTATCCCGCCTTTATTTTTTTTATAAATAACTCAAGATGTCAGACATACCTAATGCTCCTTCCTCCTCCTATTTCCTCCATAACAACAACCCTGTGTGGTGGGCTGGAAAGAGAAAGAAGGACTGGCCTAAAGTCACCAAGCTGGATGTCACGCCCACAGGCGGGACTGGAGCTTACTGACACTTGCCAGACCAGCCCTTGAAGGGCTGCAGATCGATTCTCCTTAGTGTCCGAAAGCAGGGCCAATCTAGTGGGCAGAAGCTTCACAGAGAGAGATCCAAGTTTGAAATAAGGAAGAATTTCCTGGCGGTGGAGGAGCTGGCCCCTGAGTCGCAAGGCTCCACATTAGTGGAGGTTGGAGAGCAAAGATCTGGGCTCCTTCCCTGCCCTCGGATTGGGTGTTCTGCCCCTCCTTAACCAGGTGTCTGCTTGTGACAGCAGCAACCTGCAGTGGCCGGGCAACATCTGTGCTGGAGAGCTTCTGATCTTGCCAGCCTTACCCCTTTCTGTCAGCTCTGCTCCCTGAATACTGTGTGAAATTAAGCGCCTTTGGATGGTTGCAAACTGCAATTTCTCTCTTGCAAATTATGCTACATTCATTTATTTGTTTAGCCTTTCTTGACACTTCAGCACAATGCTATAGTTAAGCAGCTTGGTGGTCTGCTAGTCCTCTCTGCCCAAATGCCTTCTTCTAGCATAGGGGAATTGCGAGAGGAGGGAGATGTCATCTGGAAATCCCCATTCGCCCAAAGTAGGTAAAAAGACTTATTTGAAAGCCTCAGCAGTGAGTCACAGGGGCTTTTGCCCCAAAAATTGCCTGGAGGGGAGCAGTCCAGGTGGGCTCACTGCTGTGGGTGGACTTCGGCTGAGCTTTCCAACATCAAAGCAGCCATCCTGGATGGGAAGCAGGGGTGGTCTATAGGAGGGGGGGGGCTGTTGGAGGATGGCAATGGAGCCCCAAGGCATGAGGCTTCAACTGCGCTGGTGCAATGGTGAGAATCTCTTCCCAAGTGCCAGTGCTGCTGCTTCAGGTGCCCCAACTGATCTTTGATCATGTTGTTGCAGGCCTACTTCCGACAGGGTGTTGCCCTCCAGTACCTCGGGCGCCATGCCGATGCTTTGGCAGCATTTGCCTCCGGCTTGGCCCAAGATCCCAAGAGCCTGCAGCTCCTGGTGGGCATGGTGGAAGCTGCCATGAAGTCTCCCATGAGAGGTAAGGAGGAGGCTCTTTGGCCTGGGTGGAGGAGGGGAAGAGTTGGAATGCCCACGAGACACCCTTTTGTTGGATGATTGCTCCCCTGACTTTGGAACATGGGCTGTGCCAATGGGGGATTATGGGATCTGGAGCATAAGTTACCATCCCAGTGATGCGAATGGCTTCTACTTCTTCCTTAGAGTCCCTCGAGCCAACGTACCAGCAGCTGCAGAGGATGAAGCTGGACAAGAGCCCCTTCGTGGTGGTCTCCGTGATTGGACAGGAGCTGCTGACAGCTGGCCATCATGGTGCCTCTGTTGTGGTTCTGGAAGCGGCCTTGAAAATTGGCACCTGCAGCTTGAAACTGAGGGGCTCCGTCTTCTCTGCCCTAAGCAGTGCCTACTGGTCTCTGGGCAATGCCGAGAAGAGCTCGGGCTACATGCAGCAGGACTTGGATGTGGCCAAGACCTTAGGTAAGCCACATGATGTTGTGAGGGTGGAAGGACAGCGCCACTGGGATCTGATGGCTGGTGGTGGGTTTACGTGGGTTCCCCTTTTCCCTAGGATGCTCAGGTGTCTCTTTGTGCACTGCTACAATGATTGCTTTCTGGGCGCTAGAGAAGTAATGTCCAGGGGCCATCTGCAGCATTGTGCCGGACACTGTGGGCCCGCCAGGGCAAGTGAAGGGGCTCGGGTATGAAAGGAAAGACCACTGGGGATGTAGGTGGCACCCCTTCTTTTTGCCCCAGGCTGCACCAGGGTGGGGTTTACCTGGCAGCCTCTTGAAGGGCCTTCCAATTCACCCTTGGCTTTGCTTGCTTCTCCTCCAGGTGACCAGATGGGTGAATGCCGAGCTCATGGCAATCTGGGCTCTGCTTTCTTCTCCAAGGGAAATTACCGGGAGGCCTTGACTAACCACAGACATCAGCTGGTGCTTGCCATGAAGCTCAAGGACAGAGAGGTAGGAGAGGAGAGTGATGCCTACGTGTCTTCCCAGTGACAAAGGGGGGATGCCCAGGAGAGCATCTGGAGCAAGGAGCAGTGGAGCAAATGGGCAAATTAGATGACAAATAGCTTCCACTGAAGTATCTGCTGGGTAAAGCAGCACAATGGGAAGGGAGAGCTAACTCACAACCACAATGAGACTGAACCAGGAGCAGCATAAACATTTCCGATAGACACACAAATGACTCAGAGCTACGGGGGAGGAGGATCCCTGTGTGGGAATGCCATGGGCGGTGGGAGAGTCATGCCTGCCTGAGCTTGGAGAGGAAGCGCCCTCTTGCCTATTCCTTCCTCTCTGCTTCAGTTGCTATAGTGGACCAGGTAACTGTACCAGGAAGTTGGCAGTCCCGCCCAAGGAAGGGTCCACAAGAACTGTGTCCTTGTGGGTGACTCTTGGGGACTCTGTAGCTGGGCTCCCAAAATTCAGAATGGTCCTCCCTATCTCCCCTCGAGCAGGTGGCCCTCAGGGGCCTGTGTCTCAGTTATCCAGGCATTAGGGTGTGCCTTGAAGTCTGTCAGCACCTTCTGCAGCCCCCTGAGCCCCCTCTTGGCTCTTTCCTGCAGGCCGCCACCTCTGCCCTCAGCAGCCTTGGCCATGTCTACACTGCCATTGGGGACTACCCCAACGCCTTGGCCAGTCACAAGCAGTGTGTCCTTCTCACCAAGCAAGGCAAAGAGGAGCTCTCTGAAGCTCGGGAACTGGGCAACATGGGGGCCGTCTACATCGCCATGGGTGACTTTGAGAATGCTGTGCAGTGCCACGAGCAGCACCTGAGGATTGCCAAGGCTCTCAGCAACAAGCGGGAGGAGGCCCGGGCCTACAGCAACCTGGGCAGTGCCTACCACTATCACCGCAACTTTGACAAGGCCATGTCTTATCACAACCATGTCCTGGAGCTCGCCCAGGAGCTGGAGGAGAAGCCTATTGAGATGCGAGCATATGCCGGGCTCGGTCACGCTGCCCGCTGCATGCAGGATCTGGAGCGGGCCAAACAGTATCACGAGGAGCAGCTGCGCATTGCCGAGAGCCTGCAGGATCGAGCTGCAGAGGGCCGTGCCTCTTCCAATCTAGGTGAGAGGATCCCTTCAGAATGACCTTTCCTATGCTACGCCTCTACGGGTCAGGAGCATTTGGGGGCAAGGCCCAATCCTTTTGCACATGCTCTGTGATAGTGGGTACATATCCCAAAGGAGCAGTGCTGCTTTTCTGATGTGCATATGTGTCCATGTGCAGTCCTGCACTCTGTAAGACCAGAAGCCAGGCAAGGTTAGGCAGGCCAAGGAGAACCCCACCCCCTTTCATTCAAGCCCAGGAGACCACATTCCGACTGGCTGTTACAGCGGCTTTGCCTCTTTCCCTGTGCACACAGATGTGATTCCATGGATGCTGGTGAATTTAGTTGTTCGCTTGCCTCCCACTCTGCATCCAGAGGCTGCCTTTATTATCTGCAGAGGCCAAACTTCTCTTGATCTCCTTTGTCCCAGAGAGGAAAATGGAGAGGGGAGGGGGCTGGCTGACCCTCTCCTAGCCGCTAAGAGGCATGAAGGGCAGCCAGCTGCTAGATCGTTTTACTAGGGATCTGGCTGGGTGGGTGCAGGAGATACCCATCTGGGTTGTGGCTTTTCCTCTTGTGCTGGTGGAGTCTCACTTTCTCAGTTGCCTCCTGGCTGTGCTCGTGTGGGCTCCAGGACAAAGGCAGCACTTTGCTGTTCCTTGCAGGGATCATCCACCAGATGAAGGGGGACTACGAGATGGCGCTGAAGCTGCACAAGGGGCACCTCTCCATTGCACAGGAGCTGAATGACTATGCAGCCCAGGGGAGGGCCTATGGCAACATGGGCAATGCCTACAATGCCCTGGGCCTGTTTGACCAGGCTGTCAAGTATCACCGTCAGGAGCTGCAGATTTCCATGGAGGTGAACGATCGGGCTTCCCAGGCTTCCACTCATGGCAACCTGGCCGTAGCCTACCAAGCTCTGGGGGCCCACGACCGGGCGCTCCAGCACTACCAGAACCACCTGAACATTGCCCGGGAGCTGCGGGATGTCCAGAGTGAGGCCCGGGCTCTTGGCAACCTGGGGAACTTCCACTGCTCTCGAGGAGAGTTTGCCCAGGCAGCCCCGTACTACGAGCAATACCTGCAACTCTCCCCAGAGCTGCAGGACATGGAGAGTGAAGGCAAAATCTGCCACAACCTAGGCTACGCCCAGTATTGCCTGGGCAACTACCAGGAGGCTGTGAAGTACTACGAGCAAGACCTGGCCCTGGCCAAGGACCTTCACGACAAACTCAGCCAGGCCAAGGCCTACTGCAACCTGGGCCTGGCCTTCAAGGCCCTGGACCAGTTCTCTAAGGCCGAGGAGTGCCAGAAGTACCTGCTGTCCCTTGCCCAGTCCCTCAGTAACCCCCAGGCCAAGTTCCGAGCTCTGGGCAACCTGGGGGACATTGCTGTCTGCAAGAGAGACGTGAGCAGTGCCATCAGGCTCTATGAGCAGCAGCTGAGCCTCGCCCATCAAGCCGCAGACAGAAAGCTGGAGGCGAGCGCCTACGCGGCCCTGGGCTCAGCCTACCGTCTGCTGCAGAAGTACGACAAGGCGCTGGGCTACCATACGCAGGAACTGGAGGTACATCAAGAGCTGGGCGAGATGCTGGGAGAATGCCAGGCACACGGGCACTTGGCGGCGGTCTACATGGCCTTGGGCAAGTACACCATGGCCTTCAAAGGTTACCAGGAGCAGTTGGAGGTGGGCCAGAAGCTGAAGGACCCTGGCATCGAAGCCCAGGTCTATGGCAATATGGGCATCACCAAAATGAACATGAACGCTACAGAAGAGGCCATTGGCTTCTTCGAGCAGCAGCTGGCCACCCTGCAGCAGCTGAGCGGGAGTGAGGCGGTGCTGGACAGAGGCCGGGCCTTTGGCAATTTGGGCGACTGCTACGATGCCCTGGGTGACTACGAAGAGGCCATCAAGTATTACGATCAGTATCTCTCCGTGGCCCAGAGCCTCAGCCGCATGCAGGACCAAGCGAAGGCCTATCGGGGCCTAGGCAGTGGGCACAGGTGAGGTGAGGGGTTCTCATGAGCATGCTGGGTGCAGAGGAAGGGGGCAATTTCTTTGGGGAGAAAGATGAGGGGTTGGCACAGCCAATCCATTGGTCTTGCTGTGTCCCACTGCTAGGTTTGGCTAGCCCAGGCATGCAAATGTTGCTATGATGGGTGGCTCTCTACTGCTGGGACGGGGGGGGGCAAAAGAAGGATAACGGTGCCATTGCCTTCCCATAGGGCAATGGGCAACCTGCAGCAGGCCCTGGTTTGCTTCGAGAAAAGGCTTGTGGTGGCCCATGAGCTTGGAGAAGCCTTTGATAAGGCCCAGGCGTACGGAGAACTGGGCACTCTGCACGGCCAGCTGGGCAACTTCGAACAGGCTATCTCCTGCCTGGAGCGCCAGTTGGGCATTGCTCGGGACATGAAGGACCAGGCCTTGGAGGGCAACGCAGCGTGCGGCTTGGGCAGCGTCTACCAGCAGATGGCAGAATACGACACGGCCCTTCAGTACCACCAGATGGACCTCCAGATTGCAGAGGAAACGAACAATCCGGCTTGCCAAGGCCGGGCCTACGGCAACCTGGGCCTGACCTACGAGTCGCTGGGCACTTACGAGAGAGCCATGGTCTACCAGGAGCAGCACCTCAGCATCGCAGCCCAGATGAACGACCTGGCAGCCAAAACTGCCTCCTACAGCAGCCTGGGCAGGACGCACCACGCTTTGCAGAACTACTCCCAGGCGGTGATGTACCTACAGGAAGGTCAGTTGGCATGCTCGAGGCAGAATATGGCTCCCTGGGCAAACGCCTCTCCTTGGATGGGCACTTAGGATTATCTCAAAGCCAGGGCAGCCCAGGGGGAGCTCTCCCTTGGTCAGCCTTGGGAGGGCTGGGGAGAGCAAAGCCAGAGTGCTCCTCGGTGGTGATGATGGGCAAATTGAGCCCCCTTATGGGAGAGGCTGGTGAAGAAATGTGAAGAAAGGAAGGGACTCTTGCACTGCTTGGCGCAAGAGGCTGGTGGGCCCTCAGATTTCCCCCCCCTCCTGCAGGGCTGAGGCTGGCTGAGCAGCTGGGGCGCAGGGAGGATGAAGCCAGGATCCGACACGGCTTGGGCCTTTCGCTTTGGGCGAGTGGAAACTTGGAAGAGGCTCAGCATCAGGTGGGCAGTGGGCACTTGCAGGGACATCCCCTTCACCACCCTCCTTGGCTGAGCAGCAGAGACTGACCCCCAGGCGTTGCTTCCTCTCACAGCTCTACCGGGCTTCAGCCCTCTTTGAGACCATCCGACATGAAGCGCGGCTGAGCATCGACTATAAGCTCTCACTGTTTGACCTGCAGACCTCTTCCTATCAGGCCCTGCAACGGGTGCTGGTTACGTTGGGTGAGAGAAGGGTGGATTTTTCAGGACAGGAAAAGGCAGCAGTTTGGATGGCGTGACTTCTTCACGTGTGCAGGCTGCTGTGGGTCGGCATTTGGGAAGTCTTGCTTGCGCAGCCGTTGGCTTAAAGGGGGGCAGGAGAGGCAAAATCATCTGGTGCCTGAGAAGTGGCTGATCTGTAGCTCCCCCCTCCCCCAGACCGCAGCTTCCCTCACTTGCCTTTTTCCTCTTCCTCCACACCCTGAAATGTCACCGGGGGGGGGGGCTTTTGCAGGCCATCATGATGAGGCGTTGGCAGTGGCCGAAAGAGGTCGGACAAGGGCCTTTGCTGACCTGCTGGTGGAGCGTCAGACTGGGCAGCAGGATTCTGACCCTTACTCCCCTGTGACGGTGGATCAGGTCCTGGAGACAGTGAATGGCCAGCGAGGACTGGTCCTCTACTTCTCGCTGGCAGCGGGATACCTGTACAGCTGGCTCTTGGCTCCTGGGACAGGTAGAGTCGGGGGCTGGGGGCACACTCCTCCTGGAGGGGGCCGTGCTGCTCGCCCCCTCCAGCTCCTCCAGTGGCTGAGTCTGCTGCTTCTTCCGTGCCCCCCGGGTGGGGGGGGGAGTGTGTCTCTCTGATCGTATTCTGTTCTCTCCTGATGTTTTGTCTGGCAACATTTGCTGCATTGGGAAGCTTGTTGGGATTCTGCCTATGGAGTCTCCCTGCAGTCAGCCTGTTCTCTGCTTTTAGGGATCCTGAAGTTCCATGAATGCTACCTGGGTGAGGGCCCAGTTGGGCACTCGGGGGACTTGCAAGACAGGAGCTCAGGCCTGCATACACTTGCCAGCTCAGCACTAGAGCAGCTCGGCTCCAGTATACGAGAAGCCCTGGGAGTGGGCCCCCATTTTGTGAGGTGAGTGCCTATCCATGCAGGTGCGCATGGGGCAGGAGTGGGATTCCTGTCACAAATGGACAGCACCTGCCCTCCCCCAACCTAGGGCTAAGCCAGAGGTGGGAAGAAATCAGCTTCCTTGGCTCAGAGGATGTTTGAGCAGCAGAGGAGATGCCAGGCACTGGGCAGAGGGTGAGACTTAGAGGCAGCTGATGAATTGAAGCCTGTCCATTCAGCCCAACACTTGTCGGTCAGAGCAGAGCCTGGTTAGTGGGCAGCGTTTGATGCACTTCCGCCAGGCTCTGTCTGCTCACTTCCGTTTGGGTCGGGAGCAAGGTTGCCTCCTTCACCATCCTGGTTGGGGCTCCAGGCTGGCCCTACAGGCCTGGAGGAACAATTGTAGCATGAAACTGCCTCCAATGGACTAGAAGCAGATTCTGAATGAGAAGCATCTCATTCAGAAAGGGAAGATTCCTGCCCCAGAGCACTGGCAGGGAGACCCAGATGGCTGATGCCCCCGCTCACAGTCTCAGCAGGGTGCCCCATCCTGGAAGGGACAGTCTGGATGAGGCTCTTAGGAGCATCTTCCTGCTGCCTTCATGGAACCTTAACGGGGAAGAGCATAGTTTGGCAGTGACCACTTTGGGCTTTCCGACAGCCTGGCCTATTTTTGACTTATCATGGCAGAGACAGGATGCCATACAGCTCCCTCCCCATGGCTGGTCCTGCGTGACGGCCTGGCTTCCCCCGGGGTCTCTTCCCTTTGCCAGCAGTGAGACAGAGAGCGAAGCAGGAGACGTGATGGACCAGCCACCAGAGGAGATGAGTGGCAAGCTGAACTCTTCCAATGATCCCACTGGCTTCCTGAGGATGGTGAGCAGGAACAACCTCTTCAACAGGTGAGCTCCATGTGGCTGAATGTTGTCTGTGTGGAGACTGTGGGGGCCCTAAATGAATAGGGAAGGGAGGGCCACAAGGTAAGAGCTGGTTCCCCTCAGCCATATGGACATTGCAGAAGCCTCATCGGGGAACTTTGGGTCTTCTCTGAGGCTCTTCCCCCAACACTTGGGGGAGGATGGGCAAAGTGTGATGCCTGCAGGAAAGAGGGAAGGTGCCCAGCTCCTGCAATGGGAGGGCCATGGGCTGGGGGAGACCCTTGGGAAAGACTCCTCTCTAATCAGGATGGACATTGTGGAGTATCCAGAAAGTTATTGGTGGAAAGACAGCTAGCCCATAGCGGCATGGGAGATGGGAAGTGGGGAGGGCAGGAAGGACATCAAGGATAGGGCAGCCTCTGTTCATGTCAGACTCAGAACAATCGCCAACGCTCCAAGGAGGCCACAGTGTTGGGACTTCTGAGGGTATCACTGCTTCCTCGAGGAAACCTGATGGCCCACCTTATTAGCTGAATAAATCTGCTGGAATCTGATGGAGGGCAGGGAGATGGATTTCATCCCAGGCTTTAGCATCTTCACTTTCAGAACCAGAGCTGGAGGCCGATTGTTGGGGGGACAAGGAGGGGCTGGCATCTGCACATAAAGCAAGCCCCAACGGGGACAGGTGGGGCTGCCTGAGGTGCTCTCCAAATGAATGGACTGCTGGATCTATGACTTCAGGCAGGCCGGGCTTTTTCCTGCTTTTTTCAGCTTTCCATCCCCCTCTCATGCCTTCTGTCTCCACAGGAGCTGCCAGAGCACCGGCACCCTTTTTGCTGGCCCTCCATCCTCCATAGCAAAGGAGGAGGGCCTCGCCTCTTCCCTACCTCGATGGCCTGACTCTTCCAGCAACTCGCCCCTCCGGCTCCTCTATGACATGCTGAGTGGACCGCTGGAAGGGGTGAGCTGGGGCCCAGATGGTGAATGGACCCTGCAGAGCTTGGGGTTTTCCCATGGGGAACAGCCAGTCAGGCAGCCCTGGGAAGAGCAACCCACCACTGGGGCTAAGGAGGAGAAAGAGCTGCAGAAGCAGGGAGGGCTTCTTCAGGAAGGAGCAACCTTGGGACTGAGACATCCATCTTGTGCCCCAAAACTCCTTAAGTCCTTCCCCAACCACTTGTGCTTGGCTGGGGAAAGGTGTCTCCTCCTGGGCTGACAAAGGAGGCGCTTTTGGGGCTGCTGCAGCACTCGTGGCAGCTTGGACCAACTGTGCCACTCCTGTTCCGCCTCACAGGGAGGGAGGCCCCTTGATAGCCATAGGAAACACAGGGTGAGGGTTTGGGGATCAGCCCCAAAGAAGAGTAAAACCACCTGGTGAGCAAGGACACAGAGGCGGTAGAGGTGGCTCAAATGCAGTTGTGCTAGGGTTTTTCCTGACCAGAGACCCAGGGATGCTCACACAGTTTCTTTCTCCCTTCACAGGGTCTGATGCACTCCAGTGGCCCAGTGGGGCGTCACCGGCAGCTGGTCCTTGTCCTGGAGGGAGAGCTGTACCTCATCCCATTCGCTCTTCTCAAGGGCAGCTCGTCCAACGAGTATCTATATGAACGCTTTAGCCTTATTGCCGTGCCCTCCATCCAAGCCCTGAGTGCCAGTGCCAAGGTGGGCAGCATGGGACTTGTGCCTCCAGGGTGACAGCCAGGAATATCTCATTCTGATACAGGCTCCCTTGGTTCTTCTGCCTCTCTTTGGGAATTTTGCCCCAGAACCCTCTGCCTCCAGCAAGGTTGGGCTGCCCAGCAGCCACTGCTCCAAAGGGGGAGCCAAAGCACTGAGCAGTGGCCCTTCCTTTGCTCCTCCCTCCTCTGATGGTTCTCTGGATGCTGGGCTTGGCTGCGTCTGTTTCTTACCCTGCTGGAAAGATGGGCCTTCCAAACAGGGCATGTCCTCGAACCTGGGCACAGAACTCAGGAGAGGCACAGGTAGAATGGACAAATGTTGCTTCCTTCTAAGGGGCAAAAGTTAAGTTCTTTGGAGGGTGGCTACATATCACCGGGGGATTCTCATAGCAATGGCTGGTAGGTAAGGATAGAAGTGGTATTGCTGTCAATGTTACTGCTCTTCCCACTAAAGTTGAGGGTTCTCTTCCAGGGCCAGGCCAAGAAGAACACCTCAGCCTACAGCAGCTCCTCTTCCATGGCTGCTGTCATTGGCAACCCAAAGCTGCCGCCCTCTGTGATGGACCGCTGGCTGTGGGGGCCCATGCCCTCTGCGGAAGAAGAGGCCTATACAGTGTCAGAACTGCTTGGCTGCCAGGCACTGGTGGGTAGTGCAGCTACCAAGGACACAGTGATGAGTGCCCTGGCACAGGCTGAATGTGTGCATTTCGCTACGCACATCTCTTGGAAGCTGGCCGCCCTGATTCTGACGCCTAGTGCTGAGAGCATAACCTCTGGTTGCAAGGGGTCCTTTGGAAACTCTTACACAATCCCAGAGTCTTTGCGCATGCAGGATGACGCGAGTGATGTGGAGAGCATCTCAGACTGTCCTCCGCTGCAGGAGTTTTTGCTCACAGCAGCTGATGTGCTGGAACTTCGCTTGCCAGTCAAGCTGGTGGTCCTGGGTTCCTACCAAGAATCCAACAGCAAGGTCACAGCAGATGGGCTGATTGGGCTGACACGGGCCTTCCTAGCTGCTGGTGCCCTCTGTGTCCTCGTCTCCTTATGGCCAGTCCCAGTGGCAGCATCCAAGATATTTGTGCACACTTTCTACTCTGCCCTGCTGAATGGGCTGAAGGCCAGCGCTGCCCTCGGGGAGGCGATGAAGAGGCTGCAGAGTAGCACACTGTTTTCCCACCCATCCAACTGGGCAGGTGAGGAAGGGCTAATGAGTTGTTGACTAACCGTGGAGAGCCAGTCACAGTCCTGTGGGGAAGGCATTGTCCCCTGGGGGCTTAGGAGTTGGGGGGAGAGAGGCTGGTTGCCATAAACAGCAGTGACTTTATGTGCCTAAAAATGCTGCCTTGTTCTGCTACGAGGCGACTCGGAGAGAGAAGCGGTGCAACAAAGATACTCTGAAATGTGAAGCTGTGCAGAGATCGAGGGCAACCAAGCAGAACAGGCAGAGCTCATGGCCCGGTGAGGCTTTTGCCTGTGTCTAAGACCGTGTACCCCAAAACTCCTGTTTCTGCTCCTTAGGCTTTGTGCTGATCGGCAGCGACGTGAAACTCAACAGTCCTTCTTCCCTGGTTGGGCAAGCCTTGACTGGCATCCTCCAGTACCCAGAACGAGCACGAGATGCTTTGCGGGTCCTGCTGCATCTGGTGAGGAGGATCAGGGAGCATCAGGCATCCTATTGCCTCGGGCCACTGGAGTGCCCTGAAAATGCCTCGTGTGCCCAGGCAGCTCACCCCCTCATCTCCCTCTTAGGTGGAGAAGTCCTTGCAGCGCATCCACAGTGGGCAGCACAACTCCATGTACACCTCTCAGCAGAGCGTCGAGAATAAAGTTGGTGGCATCCCTGGATGGCAGGCCCTGTTGACAGCAGTGGGCTTCCGGCTGGATCCTCCAGCCAGTGGGCTTCCAGCCGCTGTCTTCTTCCCCACAGCGGACCCCGGGGATCGACTGCAGCAGTGCAGCAGCACCATCCAGTCTTTGCTTGGTAAGTAAACATTGGGCCTCTTGAGGTAACCTTGGCACCCTGGGGTGCGGCTAGTCCTTCAAGTTCTGCCTGCCTACCTCTTGTAGGTTTACCAAATGCTGCCCTGCAGGCCCTCTGCAAGCTGATCACCGCCTCTGAAACAGGAGAGCACCTGATTAGCCAGGCAAGTACCGGCCTGCCTTCATGGCAGTGGGGCTGGTTGCCTCTGGGGGTCCCAGCTCCAGGTACGGCACCTGAGCAAACGCTTTGTTCTCCCCCTCTTGCTGCTCTGAAGCACCATTGAGCTGCTGCCCTGCATTCCAGCCTAGCTCTAAACATTCTCTTTCTCTCTTTTTCCACCCCCTTCCCGCCCGCCCGCCCTTTCTACTCCCCAAAGGCTGTTAAAAATATGGTGGGAATGGTGAGTACAGGATCCCCCCTTGGGCCGACAAGAGGAGAGGGGCAGGGGGCAATGATCCCCCTTCCCTGCTTGAGCAGAGGGGCGGGGCTGGCTGGCTGGGGCTTCCTCCTTTCTTCTTTGTGACGTCCGCTGTGACTCCTGTTTTGCTTTTGCACCCCCTTTTCTATCCTGGTATTTTCCTGGGGCAATCCTTGGGAGGAGGTTGGAGCAGAAGGATGGGCTGGGACCAACTGACTGGCAACTCCTCCTCCTCCTCCTCAGCTCCATCAGGTTCTAGTGCAGCTCCAGGTTGGAGAGAAGGAGCAAGATTTCGCACTGGCCCCGATTCAGGTCTCCATCAGTGTTCAACTTTGGCGGTTGCCTGGCTGCCATGAGTTCCTGGCAGCTCTTGGTAGGCAAATGTCTCTGGAAAGATGGGGAATTCTATGGGGAGCAGGGCTGGTCTCTCGTGCTCCCCAAAAGGCCTCCACAGCCTCTGGGTTGGAGACAGGCAGAGAGTCTAAGCTGAGGGGGAAAAAATCTGAGAATCTTGCAGGGGGCTCATCTGGCTGTGCTTTGCTGCTTGCAGGATTTGATCTGTGCGAAGTAGGGCAGGAGGAAGTGATTCTGAAGACGGGCAAGCAGGCCAGCCGCCGCACAATGCATTTTGCACTCCAAACTCTGCTGGCTCTTTTTGGTGAGGCTCTTTCTGGGGAGACTGGGGGGGGGGCATGGAGGCCTTGGGGGGGGAGAGCAGCTTATTTTCAGAGCTCCTGGGCTGGGGAGAGTCACTAGGACAGAACAATGGCAGAGCCACGGTCTGCCCATGTCCCTTGGCTGTTCCTGGACTTCTGACTTCCACAAGCAGGACAACATACTGGTGTAGGCTTTCACAGCTGGCATCTGAAAATCTGCAACTATGGTCAACAAAACTGAAGCCCTATACTGCCCAGGGCAACTGTACTTTGGTGCCCAAGAGCAGATGATGCCAGTCACGGAGAGGGGGAAAGCTTAAGAAAGGTGAGGTTCTAGTGAAGAACCATCTAAGAGGGGGCAGTCTTGGTGTGTGTGTGAAGCCCAAACACCTTGACTTTCATGGGCCCTCACCTCTCCACCTGGTTGTGCAAGTTCTTGTAAATGGGAGGACCCCCAAACCTGAGTTCCCCAAGTGTGCTGTTTTAGAATTAATTTGCTATCCCATTCTTCTCTTTAGATTCCACAGAACTTCCCAAACGTCTGAGCTTGGACAGCTCTTCCTCACTTGAATCACTGGCCTCGGCCCAATCCATCTCCAATCCCGGGCCGCTCCTTGGCCACAATCCCCCCTTCTCTCCTACGGGCCCTGATAGCCTGGCCTCTGACGCCATCTCCGTCTACAGCCTGAGCTCCATTGCTTCTTCCATTAGCTTCGTCTCCAAGCCTGAGGGCATGTCTGAGGTAGGCGGCTCCAGGGGGCACCAAGATTCCGAGAGGCCTAAGGCCCTTTATCCCCAAAGGGTCTCCTTGCCCCAGAGTCATTTCTCGGCACAGGCCAGAGCTGGTTCCAGCAAAGATGAAGAGGAGTACGAGGGGTTCTCCATAGTCAGCAATGAGCCTCTGGCAGGATTCCAGGAGAGCAAAGGGATGTTTTCCACAGACCACAGCCTTCCTCAGATTGGAGAGGTCAGGAGCTCTGTTAACTTCAAGCGTAGCCTCAGTTCCCCAAACTCACCAGGTAAAATGGCGCTCATTCCCAGCCCAAACTCCCCTTTCCAGAAGGTTGGGAAACGAGTGGGTTCAGATGTAGCTGAATCAGACCATTCCAGTAGCGAAACAGATAGCACTATCAAATCCTCCCAAGAGGAAGGGAATGGCTCAGAGCTGGATCCTCAGGAGCTGGCCCAGAAGATCCTGCAGGAAACGCAGAGTCACCTCCTTGCCGTGGAGCACCTCCAGTGTGGCGGCAGCCATCGCTGTCCCCACCAACTTGGCCGAAGCAGCAGCCTGGATGATGGGACTGCCTCGCCCTCCAGGGTCACCACTTTCCGGTCATCAGAGACCAGTGCCTTTAGCAGGCCACTGTGCTCCAGCATCAAAAGTCGGCCTTCTCCTAACCGTGTGAGGCCTGAGCTCCTCCTTAAGAATTCCTCCCTGCGAACATCCAGCTCTGGACACAACAGTCCTTCTCCCTCTGAGACGTCCACCAAGGAAAGGGCCAGGCAGCCCTCCCCCAGCCTGGACACTTGTGGACCTGTGGCAGATCAGCCAGTCTTCAGGTTGAAGTATCCCAGCTCTCCCTACAGTGCCCATATATCCAGGTCGCCGCAAAACATCTCCCCGAGCTCAGGGCATCGATCCCCAGCAGATAGCACTCCCTCCCCAGCCCTTTCCTACTCCTCTGCCAGTTCGGCCGGTTCCAGCCCCGCCAACCCGCCTGCCCTAGACAAGCTCAAGATGGCGGCCATCGATGGAAAAGTGCAGGCCATTCACAATCTGAAGATGTTCTGGCAAAATGTCCCCCCGCAATCTTCTGGCCCCATGAGGAGCCCCCACGGCTCTTCTGGGAAGGCCTCCAAGCGTGATGTGCTGAGCCTGTTGAATCTGTCTCCCCGGCGTAGCAAAGAGGAAGCCTCCGACAAACTGGAGCTGAAGGACTTGTCTGCTCCTTGTGCTCTTTTGCAGAACTCTCCCAACGGGCGTAGACCTCCAGCTGACTCCAGCAGCACTCTGGAGTCCAGCTACCCCATACGGCTACCTTCTGGCAATGGCTACAAGTTTTTGTCACCAGGAAGGTTCTTCCCTTCATCAAAGTGCTGAATCTCAAGAGGCTCACTTGTTTGTTTACCTGGGTGGAGTTTCTGGGCCTTTTTTTTTTCCTGTTCAGTGGCTTGAAAGATGCAGTACAATAGGAAGCAGTTGGGGAACTGGAGCCCAGCAAGATGGATTTGAGCAGAGGCTGGGCCTATGGATCTTGCTTAGTGACAGACAGCCCTTTGCGGTCTTCTCAGTCGCCACTCAGTGGTGCTGGGCGGGGAAGGAGCAGCAATTCTACTAGGTAGCATACACAATTTTTTGTGTTGAAATACAAGCCATTTTCTCAGTGCTTCCAGGAAGGGTTGGGAGTTTGAGAAGGCTTCACACGGACAGCCGGTTGAGAAGCAAAGTAAGGTCGCGGAGAAGGACACGGCTGCTTCTATTCCCAGGATCAACCTAGAGGCTCTCCTGGCCGGGCCAGGTAGACCTCCAAGTGTGGCAGCACCGGAACCCGCGGCAGGTTCCGCAAGGTGCCCATCTCCAAGTGACTGGGAACCCGCTACAGGCCCGGGTTGACAGCCCGAAGAGGAAAGCTACTGCCCCGGAGGCGCCTCTCCTTCTCCCAGACTCCCCTGCGCTGTCTGCCACAAGCCCCTCGGTCTCTTCCCGTTTAAAATGCGTGTCCTGGGAAGGGGAAGGGCGGAGAGTGGGCATCCTTCGGCCCCACGGCTGGACCTTCCCTTCGTTTGCATGCAGCCGGGCACCGATCGCGCCTGGGGCGGTGGGCGCAGCGGCCCCTCCCCAGCATAAAACACCCCCCCCCAAACGCTTGGTTTGGGGAGGCGCCTTCTTTCTGGGCTGGAGGCGCACTTCGCAGGCGCGACGGGAGCCTGTGGTTGCCCGTCCCGAGGACGGAGAGGAAAAGAGCGCCGCGGCCTGAAGCTGCCACGTCTGCTGCCGGAGCCGCGCCAGGAGCCCAGGGCCGGTGCCTGTGGGCCCCTCCGACCCCTATGCAAAGCCGCAGCTCCGGGCGGCCAGAGGCGGGAGCCTCCGAAATGGTGCTTCGAAGGCGGCCCGCTCCGCTTCCTTCCCCCCCCCCGTACATCCTCACAGGAAGGGAGGGGACACCGCCCTTCGGCCGTGTTTAGGCGGACCGGCATTTTTTTGTAGCCGCGCCTCCGTTTCCGGGCGGCGTTACGCGTTTTGTATTCCGAGTCCGCCCCTATTTTTATGGCAATTACTGAGGCCTTTGGCCGCCCTTTGTGATTTCCGTGTCTATTAAAGCATGAGCTCTCCATCGCTGGCCGTCCTGTTTTTTCCGGGGGAGGGATTAGGCCGCGTGTCTGACGAGGGGACGTTCTCCCGTGAGCGCTTCCGGTACACAGAGCAAACTATGGTCTTAGCCCGGAAGCAATTCATCCATAACTTATGCGGACAGCAAGATACGGACGCTGCTCCAGACTCCGGTCCCCAGACTGCTCTGCTAACGTGGCCGTGGAATTTTAGTGGTCGCCTCTAAGCGGTTACATTTTTCTGGATTTATGGTCATCCGGGTGAATTCACCCACTTCCGGGGGAGGGAGTTGTAGCCCGAGGTGCCAAGGCCTGCCGTTATGTCGCATCATTGGTTGGGGAGCCGGATCGGTTAGTTTGTCAACTAATGAGCGGCAACTTCCGGGCGGCCCCTCGCCTGCTGCGCCGTGATTGGCTCCGGCCGAGATAGGGCGAGGCGAGGCTCCCGGAAATGCCTCGCGCTGTGGCCTATGGGTAGGCGGCCGCGACGGCGCCTGCGTGTTAGGCTGCTCCCTGCGGGAAGATGGTGCTCATCAAGGAATTGTGAGTGGCCTGGAGCGGGGGGGGGGCGGTCTATCCCGGGAGGGAGCCGTCTGGCGCTGCCTCCTCGCGCAGGGGTCCCGGCGGGCCCTTCAGAGCTCGTCGGTTCTCCCCCGCCCGGCTAGGGGCGCCCCTCCCTCGGCTGACAAGCCCGCTCTGTTCCCCTTTGCAGCCGCGTGGCCTTGCCGTGTTCAGTGCAGGAGGTAGGTGTTGCCTCCCCCCCCCCGGCCGCTCCCGCTCCTGGGGAGGAAATCGAGGCAGGATTGTTGGGGGGCGGCGGAAGGGATGAGCCTGGCGTCCGGCTGGGGAAGAAGCTCCGGCCGGGGCTCTCTGCTTTTCAGCCGGGGAGGGGGGTCCCAATCCTGCCGCGGTCTCCTGCCAGTACCAGGTCGGACAGCTGTACTCCGTGGCCGAAGCCAGCAAGAATGAGACGGGAGGCGGAGAAGGCATCCAGGTCTTGACCAACGAGCCTTACGAGAAGGACGGGGAAAAGGGCCAGTACACGCACAAGATCTACCACCTGAAGAGGTAGGGGGGTGGCTTGGGGACCTTTCTGAAGCCTCCCCGGCTTTAAGCTGTTAAGCCTGGAGATGTTCCCTGCTTGTATTCTTCCCCGTGCCTCCACTGCCGCTGGGCTTCTCAGCACCATCCGTTAACATCGCAGCCCTACAAAATCGTGGCTCTTTTTATAGGAAGGGACGGGGAGCGACCTATTACTGGAAGAGCCACAGCTGTATTTCTGAGGAGTATCAGGGTTAGGGAGCCTGGGGCAGGCTGAGAAAGCAGTGTATATTTTCAAAAAGGAGCAAGTAATGATTGCGGAAATATATACGTAGCCCCTTTGTGCTGAGCTCACACAAAGCTGTGGGAGGAATGTGTTTATGAAGAGATTGCTAAGATGGGAGTAAAAACTGTTGATCTTATTTTTTGGCAAAAATAAACCTATGACTCTGCTTCCTCATAGCAAAGTGCCTGGCTTTGTGCGGATGTTTGCTCCGGAAGGCTCCCTAGTATTTCATGAAAAAGCCTGGAATGCATATCCTTACTGTAGAACAGGTGAGTGTGCTCTTCCCTTTTTCTCAGAAGGATGCTCTCAAGAGGGCTGAGTTAAATGCTCAGGTAAAGCCAGAGAAGACTCTATTATCTAAAACCATCTGCAATTGCAAATTTAGTTGCTGCTCGCTGGAGGGAAATGCTGATTAAACAACATTAAGGCTTATATTGACTCATCATTGGTAGGTGTGAGAGCAGGCAACTGATTGCCACTGGCCTGTAAGAAAGGGATGATTTATGAACTGCCATCTTGAACTTAATCAGCCTAGCTATTAGCTGTCGATGATGGACATTGTAGTCTGAAGCCTAGTGGTTAGGAGGGATTGGTGCATGTTTGTTGTGCTGAGATTAGGTGATGATAAACATTGTTATGATTTTGCTAGCTATTTCTTTGTTCACTTTCAATTGGGACTCTGTGGCCACTCTGTTCCACTTGGCATTTAATCTGGATAATATAGAGAGCATAATGAAGTTATGTAGCTGTCCTGTTACAGTGCAGTCACTTCTCTTTGTCTCCATCTCTTTCTCCTTCCATAACGTCCTGAGGAACAGTCGTTACGGTGAGTATTTTCTCTTCTTATGTTTGTCATTGTGGCTTAGCAACAATTTACAGGCCTTTGGGTTTCAGTGTTAAGGATGCTCTCTCAAAGTGAAAAAGTCTGCAGGCTGGTGGGGAGCTGGGTGTGGCTGGCCTGCAAAGGGAATGAAACCATCTCCTCTCAGAGCGATTCTTGAGCTTTACAACAGGACCTTTGGGGAAGGAAGTTGAACCAGTCTTCATTCTCATCTTCTGCAAACCACACCCACTACTTGCATGTTGGACTTAGATGCTGGCAATGAGGGCCTCCACTACTCAACACGTCCCATGCAGTAGTTCTATCCTATCCTGCCTCCCACTGAACTTTCCAAGAAATGCTGGGGGGGGGCTCTCTGTGCAATGAACATTGCCAGTTTTTGTCCAGTTCCCCCACTCTACGTCTACCTTTGTCTTGAGATGCATTTCCATTTGTTTTTGTTTCCATAGAATGAATATATGAAAGAGGATTTTTTTATCAAAATTGAGACTTGGCATAAACCTGACTTGGGCACGTCGGACAATGTAAGCTGGCCGTAAGCGGTTTGTTTCTGGGTCTGGGAAATGAAGGGCTCCCTGCTTAGATTTGTGTGGCTCCCACCGCCACTCAGGAGGATCGGCAGCTTCCTGCTTGGTGGTCTGGAGATTGACATTGCTTCAGTGCTGGGACTGAGTTTTTCTTCTGCCTCCAGACCGTGGCGGGTGTTTTAAAACATTGGCGTACTTTCTGATCAGAGTGATTTCAGCAGTTTAAGAAAATGAAAGGGTAGCAATGGATATGGGTAAAACAACTAGCACGTAAAAGTGCAATTAAATGTCCAAATTCAAAATACCTAAGCTGGATTGTAGAAGGTGGGTGTTTTTATTTTAAGACTTGCGTTCATTATTGCAGCTCGCTTTAAGAAAGTGGCCCGTATGTTGCTCTTCAAAACCTCCCCTTTGGCTTTCCTTGTAGATTGGCAGAGGCTGGATTTAACTTTCCTGGCTGCCTTGCCAAAGTCTGTGGAAAGGCCTCCCTGCTGCTAGGCATGCCTTGCAAGCAGGTATTCGCCCCATGCAAAGGAGAGGAGGGGGTTGGCCCTGTGATCAGTGGGGCTTTCTCTTCCTGCAGGTCCATGACTTGGATCCCAATACATGGAAAAACGTGGAAGTTGTTCATATCGATATAGCAGACAGAAACCAAGTGGAGCCTGGAGTAAGTTGAATTCATATTCCTCCTGCAGCTTGATGCTGCGGGTTGGGTTTATTCCTGTTCCCGCATATAAATGCTATTTCAAAAGAGGGAAGTTAAGAGCTTCTTCAATAGTGGGTTGAAAGAAGCCAATCAAACTGCTTAGCCATCAGTATCGCTGTAGCCCAGGTAGGCTGCTCTGGGATTGACAGCCGCTGGTCCTTTTCCTGCTTGCCAGAGCAGTTCTAAACATGCATAACTTTACCTCTTTCTGTGGTTACAATATAATTCTTTTTTTCTATAATTCTGCCTAATCAAAATTATAAATTATCATTGTTTTTCTGTTTCACACGAAAAGTTTATAAAGGGTTTGCAATCAGCAATAAATATAGGTATCTTTTATCTGATCAAAGAAGTCAATTTAGCCATCTCAAGTTGTATCTTACCCATCTACCTCCGTTCCTTTGTACATATTATAATCTCGCTACAGTTAGGTATAAATACAAAATTCCATTACATTTTTACAACCATCCATCAATCCCAAAAGAAAAACCTCTGGTATCTGTCAGTCTGTCTATGTCTGTCTATCTGTCTATCATCTGTCTTCAGTAACCACCCAACATCTGATTGTGAGTGACTTACAATTCTAAAATTATGGAAAGTTTAAAAAACATAAAAGCAATAAAAGCATCCCCCAAACAAAAAAGTATAAACTGTAGCTGTGATGATTAATCAACTAATAGTAAAGCCAAGTAATGGGACCCTTAACACTTTGTGAGCCCCAAGGCCCACCCCCACCCAACCCCCCGGGTACATAGCCAAGTTTTCAAAGCTTTGCAAAAAGCCAGCAGGGGTGGAGCCATTCTGATCTCTGAGGGGAGAATATTCCATAAGGCCGGGGCTACAACAGAAAAAGGCTAATTCCCATCATTCGGCACTCCTTGGCTGACAGGAAGTGCAGCATGTCCAATTTGTTGGACCGGATTGGATGGATAGAAACACTTGGAAAAAACAGGGTCCTTCAGATAGCCTGGTCCCAAGTCATGTAGGACTTTAAAGATGGCAACCAGCACTTTGAATTGCACCCGGAAACAGCTCATGGAGTAGCGATGTTAACGTGATGTGTAGCCGGCACCATTTATTACCCATTTTGCACCAGTTGAAGTTTCCAAATGCTCTTCCAGGGAAGGAGTGGAGAGAGAGAGAGCTGGGTGTCATCTGCATATATCTCACCCCAAACTGACAGTTCCCCTCACCCTGTGGCCTCATAGATGTTAAATAGGAGATCAGAGGATATACTAGAATAATAACTTTATTGTCACTTTGAACGTACACTAATCGGTATACATTAAAATGAAGTTTCGTTGCATACAGCTCTCAAACGGTCACCAGCCCCCAATATACATTTCATAAATATGACAAAAATAAATACAGAATTATGCAGATACAGAGAGACAACACAGTCTAGTTGTGGATAGAACTGGCCTGCAGAATTGCCAAGAGTCAGACATGACTGAATGGATAGCATCATCTAGTTCTCTTTCCAACTCTCTGTCTATAATTTCTGCCTCACTCTAAAATTTTTGCTTCGTCATTAATTTGTTTATCCACTTATCTGGACATTTCTTTTCCAGCTCAGTAGGTGTTATATGCCTGTGGTTGTCATA